GCTAATTTTCGGATTTGGCGCGAATCAAAATTTTCCTAATATTCAAAACGAATTCCACTTCGCCTACTTCGATTCGCTCATCTCTAGATAGGAGAAGTAGAAGTGTGAGGAAAGTAACATGGGAGCGGGATGTACACGAGCGCACATGCCTTCCAGGCCTGGTGTTTGGGTCAGCAGGAAAGTGAAGTATCAGCAGGAGAGGATGATGAGAGCAGTAGTAGGGAGATGGTAGCAGTGAGGGTGAGATGTACAAGTTTTGGGGTGGAGCAGAGGGGTAAAGAAGTGAGATTTTGGGAACACAAGATAGTGATATGAAAAGGAGGAGTAGAGGGGACATATTAAAAAGGTACATGGAGTGGGACTCAGACTTGTAAGAGATGTCTCCCAGGGTGTTTGCTTGCAGTCTGTCCAGCATGCAGTAGAGTTTCTTGCTGTTGTTGTGTCTTCCTGCTGCTTGAGTTCTCCTGCTTTAGTTAAATTGCTGTGTTTAACTGCTTCTTAGCACTCCATCAACGCAGCACTCACGCAATGCAGCACACCTGTCAGAGACTGTGCCCCCCATCAGTGATTTTTCCCCCATGAGCTGATCTAAATTTATAGGGAGATGTTCAAATGAACATTCAACTCCACCCCAATTAGAAGCTGATAAGGATCATATGAATAGTGGGGGATGTTTCCTAGGAAACAGACTACAGTCATAAAACGGGTGCAGCTAGAGGTGAGAACTGGTCAACATATACACAAATATAAATACACTATTTGTTCTGAATTTAACAGGAATCAATGTGTTTCTTAGTTAAGAGTGGAGATAGGAGATAGGTGCATTTACCTGTGAAAGCAGAGAAGGCATAATTAGACTGCTGTGTTTAACTGCTTCTTCTTAGCACTCCATCAACACAGCTCTCACACAATGCAGCACCCCCATCAGAGACTGTGCCCCCCCATCATGACCTTCTTATGACTGCCTGTGTATGGCCATGAATAAAATGAAAGCAAACCCCAATCCTGGTATTCTATGAAAAAGATAAATTTCACGTAGAAGATAACATTATATCAACATTGCTATTCCAATCCTCCTTCCTCAAAATGCAGAGCAGCAATTAATGTACACCAAAAAAAAAACAAACCAATGAAGACTTCCTGAATCTTTACAAATCTTCACAAAAAACTAAACCACCCACCTACACTAACCCAACAATAGCATTTGAAGGAAATATTTATTTAAAATTATGTGAAATATTTTTACCTATTTTATGCATATAATATATATCACAGTGGCTAAATGGTTAGCACTTCTGCCTGGCAGTACTCGGGTCGTTGGTTTGAATCCCAGCCACGGCACCACCTGCCTGGAGTTTGCATGTTCTCCCTGTGCCTGCATGGGTTTCCTCCGGGGACTCTGGTTTCCTCCCACGCTCCAAAGACATGCTGGTAGGTTAATTGGATCCTGTCTAAATTGGCCGTAATATGTGTATGTATGAATGTAGTTAGGGACCTTAGATTGTACGCCCCTTGAGGGTTAGGGACCTTAGATTCTACGCCCGTTGAGGTTTAGGGACTGATGTCAATGTACAATATATATGTGTAAAGCTCTGCTTAAATTGACGATGCTACATAAGTACCTGAAATAAATAAAATATCACTTGAGGGCAGAGCAGTGGCATCACTAGGGTTGGTGTCACCTGGTGTGATAAAACACTGTCACCGTACCCTTCCCCCATGTTTTACTGCACCGCCAAAGTTCCCCCCCTTAACAATTTGGGGGTCCCTTACACAGCTTTAGGCCTGAAACCCCCCAAGCCTGACCATCAACAATCCTCAAAGCCTGCCCACAGGCTGTCCCCACCAAATTTGCCCACCGGCCATCCTATCAAGTCCTTCATTGCACCCACTTTTATTTTAACACTCTTACCATATACAGGTGAAACTCGAAAAATTAGAATATGGTGCAAAAGTTCATTTATTTCAGTAATGCAACTTAAAAGGTGAAACTAATATATGAGATAGACTCATTACATGCAAAGCAAGATAGCTGATTTGTCATAATTGTGATGATTATGGCCCAACAACACTACAAAGAGATCCCTGTGCTCAAATCCCAGCAGGTAGTGCATGCATTCATCCATCAGGTGCTAAAGGGGTGTAACCACATAGTAACACTATTGCAATATGTGTGAACTAAATATCCCTATTTATTGCACTGTCTGCTTGAAAGGGTATATACCAGTGTGCAGAGGGCCCTTCAGAATTTCTAGTGTTAATGTGGTTACACCCCTTTAGCACCTGATGGATAAATGCATGCACTATCTGCTGGGATTTCAGCACAGGGATCTCTTGTTTGTTGTATTGTTGGGTCAGTAGCTAGACCTGAACCTGGTATCTCTCCCCCATTGTGTCTTTTCCCCTATGTTAGCATTGTGTCCACAGTAGCATTTGCATTGACAGAGCAGAGTAGGACTGGCCATAGAGGGATTACTTTGACACAGTTGGCCAGCTTAAGCATGTATTGCAATATGTGTGAACTAAATATCCCTATTTATTGCATAGTCTGCTTGAAAGAGTACATACCAGTGTGCAGAGGGCCCTTCAGAATTTCTTTGCTGGATGGGCTGTCTCTTTGCTGGAGGGGCTGTCTCTTTGCTGGACAAGCTGTCACTTTGCTGGACAAGCTGTCTCTTTGCGGATGGGCTGTCTCTTTGATGGAGATACTGTCTCTTTGCTGGATGAACAGTCTCTTTGCTGGATAAAAAGTCTCTTTGCTGGATGGACTGTCTCTGCAGGACGATCTGTCTCTGCTATACAGGTTGTCTCTTTGCTAGATGGTCTGTCTCTTTGCTGGATGGGCTGTGTGACGGTCACAGCGTCAGACCCCTAGCCCTTCTCATCAACTCATGACCAAAGGTCTAGCCAATCTAAAACCGTGCTGTCACGTGCGTAACAATGCCACGCTCAGCTGCACCCTGCACAAAGATTTTCCAGCTAATGGACCACAATCTATGTACCTGCAGCCTGAGAGCGGTTGTTACTGGGTCAGGTTAATTACGCAATTAACCCTTCACACTGCCACCACCACCTTTTTGTACAGAGTAAGAGGAAACTCGCCAATGTTAGCAATAACACTATGATGTTTGAATAATCGTCTGTATACCACTGTCACCGCAGGCAGAGATATATAGAGGTTTAAAAACACACAGTAGCGCTCTTCAGAGACAGGGATTCTTAGTTTGCATTAAAGAGCTTTAGAAACAGTTCAATACTTTTCAGATAATAGGATTTATTACTAAAAAGGTCAAAAAAGTGCAATAAAAATATTTACAGAAAAAGATGTAGCCAATATATATATATATATATATATATATATATATATATATATATATATATATATATATAAATAAATACAAATACAGAGAGCAATAACATAGCAAAGAGATAACAGAAAGAAGTTTAGGGAGGTAGAGTATTTGCCAAAAGTCCTGGGTTAAACAGATTCCAGTATCCTGAGCAAAAGGGTGCCTTGTTTCCCAAATTGGTTCCGATGTTAAAAGGGGGATTTCTTCAACTCAACTTAACTCTCTGCTCCAAGCATAACAGCCTTTTTCTAGGAACTCGGCAGGGTGTCTCCTTCAAGCAGAGAACCAATTGCCTCATTTGGGGAGGGTGTTGTAGGCGGGGGACTCAGGCTAGAACCATAATCCCTCGCAAGTTATACCAGGGCAATAACCTTCCCTCGGTACATGTAACATTCTATCCACGGGTAGAATAATATGCAGAATCATCTGCTGAATGTCTAGATATCAAACATGGCATAGTTCACTATTTCAGCTAGAACTATATGCTTTCTGCTCTCCTGTAGACTCCAACTAGGGGGTGTAAGATATCAGGCGACTTGTACAACCAAATTCACCGCCATCCGGGCAGCAGAGAGCCATTGACGGGCACCGGAGTGTTCCCCGACCCTGCCCGCACCTAAGGGGGGGGAGCGGAGCGAATTTGGCCCCTCTCTGTGACGGCGGACACACACAGCTCGGTGAGGCCTACCGTGATCTCTCCTCCCTGCATTATCTGCAGCCATCCACACAGTGGGGAGCCTCTAGTGGGCACCGGAGGCCTTTCCTACCCCTCGCACCTGGAGGTGGGGAGGGAGTCACGTTTGGCCACTCTCCGCAGCAGCTGACACATCCGGCCTGTTAAGGACTACAGCAGCCTGCCACACCAGGCCCCTGTTCTGGATACCATCCTACATAATTGTGAGTACAGCCAGTGGGGGGAGTGCAGCCAACACCCATCAGGTCCCCTGCCAGTGCCCCGGGGACTGTAACAGGAGTCTGGGGCCTATATCACTATATATAGCCCCTATTGGGCCCGGAAGTTTGTGGGGACCTGAAACTTCCTGGGGATTAAGTATCTGGGCTCCGTGCTCCCCGTCTGACCAGTTCTGGATCCTAGAGTCCTGGAGATTCTGTGCCACACAGTCCGCTGTGCCTTATCTAGCCCTTTCAGTGGTTGGGCCAGTTTCTGGTGCTCTGCCCCTTACTGCATATAACCACACAGCTAATATCCACGTATTATTCCCATATGTTGAATCTCATTTTTACAATATGGAAATTGTGCTTAGACACCTGATCACATCTATGTAACTATACTCTTGCACCAGCACTTGGCGTTATAGGTGCTCTGGGGTCATCACCATCCTTGGTTATTCAAAATTTCAATTGATCACCCCCAGGAGACTTCCTGCATGCCGTCCGCCAAGAAGAAAAGTAGGGGTAATGCTCAAAAATCACCGATCCACGGAAAGAGCCGAAGATGTCAGCTCGGTCATGTGATCAGCTGTGTTCAATTACAGCTGATCACATGTAAACAGGGAAATTCTGGTTATCGGCATTTCTCTCCTCTCGAGCTGTCACGCTGACAGAGGAGAGGAGAGCCGGTAATCGGCAATCCGCGGAGGGGACATGTACACTGATCATCAGGGCACTGCTGATCAGTGTGCCCTGATGATCAGTGTAGCCTCAGCAGTGCCACCTGTCATTGTCCATCAGTGCCACCTGTCAGTGCTCATCAGTGCCACGTGCCAGTGCCCATCAGAGCCACATCAATGCCACATATCAGTGCCTACCAGTGCACATCAATGCCACATATCAGTGTCCATCTGAGCTGCCTTTCAGTGTCACCTATCAATGCCAGTCAGTGCCACCTATCAATGCCAATCAGTGCCACCTATCAGTGCTGTCAATCAGTGTCACCTATCATTGCCAGTCAGTGCCGCCTATCAGTGCCAGTCAGTGTCACCTATCAGTGCACATCAGTGCCACCTATCAGTGCCAGTCAGTGCCACCTATCAGTGCCAGTCAGTGCCACCTATCAGTGCCAGTCAGTGCCACCTATCAGTGCCACCTATCAGTGCCGCCTATCAGTGCTGCCTTTCAGTGCCTGTCAATGCCCATCAGTGCCACCTGCCAGTGCCTCCTCAACAGTGCCCATCAGTGCCACTTATCAGTGTCCATCAGTGCAGCCTATCAGTGCCCATCACTGCAGCCTCACATCGGTGAAGGAGAAAAATCACTTATTTACAAAATTGTATAACAAAAACTAAGAAAAAACATTTTTTTTCTAAATTTTCAGTGGTTGTTTGTTTGTTTGAGAAAAAATAAAAAACCCCAGAGGTGATAAAATACCACCAAAATAAAGTTGAAGGAAAGAAGTATAGAGGAGTAGGGAGATATTACCCTGGGACCTGGTTAGACTAGAGAGAGATGAAGGAGAAGAAAGAAGAGAAGGAATCCCGTGGTTTGGGTTCCGCCTTAAGCGGCAATGAGGGGGTGTCATGCTTCTGTTACTGAATGGAGATCCAAGTTATACTGATGGTGGCTGGTGGGTATGTGAATATGTGAGTGTGTGATCCTGAGCTGAGAGGTTGAGAGGAGGGTCTAGTTACAGCTGTAATGGAAGAAGATAGGAGTTAAATGGAGGAAGAGGAGGATGACAATGGAGATAAAACAGTGAGTTATACTAGCTTAGCAGGTGATATCAAAGTCAACTACATTATTATGCAATGTCTCCAGTGCCACAGGGCTCTAGGGAGTTTGCAATGGACAACTTAATAAGTTTGAGTTCTGGAGAAAAAAAGCCTGCTTCTGTGCGAATAGGGTTCCTGTGATATAGGATTCCCATTTGCGGAAATAGTAGGACTCCTTAGAGGAGGTCGGGGAGGTGATTAGATTGAGTCTTTCAAGGCGTAGAAGAGATTTGAACTCTTGTTTAACATCCGTCAGTGTTGGAGGGGAGTTGGAGATCCATTTCCGGAGAATGGCCCGTCTAGCTATTAGGAGAACTGTGGATATCCAAGGTTTGTTGTTTCTGAAGGTTGTTGTTTGATAGGAGAAGAGGCCAGTGACTGGCTGTTCCAGATAGCCAAAGAGGAGCAGTAGTGGGTCAATAGGTACTTGGAAGGTGGTGATGACAGTTTTGAAGTTGACCACTTGTTTCCAAAATATGGAAATAACAGAGCAAAGCCAGAATCGGTGTGGTAGTGAAGGTTTGTGACTTCCACAGAGAGGGCAAGTAGAGCCTGGTTGCTTCTTGAGTAGAGACAGGGCATATAGGCACGGTGAAGAATCTTGAGTTGTTGTTCACGCCAGAACTTGTTGTGATTGAAGGCACATGTGGAGTTTAAGCCTGATAGTAGTTGGTCAGCTGTAAATGTATTTGATCCAGGATTTCACAGCATTGAATATCTCAAGAGGTTTTGCGTACAGTAGATTCATGGGTCTGAATATGTTCACTATTTTATACTTTCGAGAGTTCACCAAGACATCAATGAATGTCGTCTGAAATCTAGTAGATTTAATAGGTGCCACAGAGTTGACAAAGTTTCTCACTTGAAGCATATAAAAAAAGTGGTGCATTGGTAGACCGTAGATTTGTAGGACGCTGTTGAGAGACTTTGGGGAACCCATAGAGGTATCATACAAGTGCTGTATCAAAGTTAAATCTTGGACCAGCCAGGTCTCATAAGCATCATAAGATTGCGGGGGAGAAAAGGAGGAGTTATGATGAATCAAAAGAAAGCGAGAGAGCCAGGGAGAAACCCCTAGTTTACGTCTGATTTCCCTCCATGTAATAAGTGTATCAGGGATGAGCAAATTATGTTTCAAGTGGGGTGGTAGAGAGTTAACATTAGAATGTAGTAGGGCTGATAGGTCGTAGGGCTGTGCTAATGCAGATTCAATGTGATGACTGGAGTATTTAGAGGATTGGGTGAGCCATTCTAGACATATACGGAGAAGACATGACAGATTGTATGCTCGCACGTTTGGAAGACCCAATCCTCCCTCGCTTCGTGGGAGGAATAATTTAGCCAGTGCTATGCGGGGACTTTTGCCTTTCCATACAAAGGTTGAAATTGCCCTATTAAGCCTCATTATGTCTCTGTGTTTAATAAGAAGAGGTATGGTCTGAAACGGGTAGAGGAGTTTTGGGAAACTTACCATCTTAAAGAGGTGTGATCTACCCAGGAGTGAGAGCGGTAGATCCTTCCACATTTCTAGTTCCCCAATGATTTTCGTAATTGTGGGCCCATAATTTAGCTCGTATAGAGCTGAAGCCAGTTTCCCTATCTTTATGCATAGGTAGGTGATATGTTTGGTAGCAATTTTAAAGGTTGAATTTTGTGTCCACACCAGGAGGCGGGAATTAGATATTGGGAGCACTTCACTTTTGGAAAAATTTATACGAAGCCCTGAACAAAGGCGAAAGGATGAGAAAATATGTTGAATGTATGGCAGGTTGAGAGATAGGTGTGAGGTACAAATTAATATGTCATCTGCGAACAAAGCAAGCCTCAGTTCCTGTTGTCCTATTGTAATGCCATGCAGGTCAGAGTGGAATAGTAGAAAGCGTGCCAGTGGTTCCAGGGCCAAGTTGAAAAGTAGAGGTGATAGAGGGCAACCTTGTCTAGTGCCCTTGTGAAGTTGGATGGGGTTAGAAATATGGCCTGCTGCTATGACCTGAGCTGTTGGAGATGAGTACATGGTTGGGATCAGGTGCATAAAGGGGCCTTCAAAACCTAACTTCCGTAGTGCTAAGAATAGCCAACCAAAATTTACATTGTCAAATGCTTTTTCGGCATTTAATGAGATAATTGCTATGTCTCGAGTGGTGTCGCTAAGTGCCTGACTCAGGACAGAAATCACCTTATGAATGTTCGAAGACACCGAGCGACCCTGTACAAACCCCGCTTGCGATAAATGGATTAGGGTAGGCAGTATAACTGCTAGACGAGAGGCAATCATTTTTGACAGGAGCTTTGCATCAAGATTTAGTAGAGATATTGGCCTATATGATCCAGGTTCCGTCAGGTCTTTATCTTTTTTGGCGATCAGTTTAATATGGACTTGAAATCCAGAGGGAAGGTAGTCTCCTCCTCCCTGAATGAGTTGGAACACCGATTGCAGGGTAAGAGAAAGAGTTTCGGCCATGAGTTTGTAAAATTTGGCTGTGTAGCCATCTGGTCCTGGGGCTTTACCGATCGTAAGTGATTTAATGGCTGAGGATTTATCCGCATGAGTGATGGGAGCGTTCAGAGTTTGTAGTGCAGTTGGGTCTAACCGTGGCAACGAGATAGCATCTAGGAAGGAGGTGGCCTTGGCAGTGTCTATAGGATCCGGACCGTATAGAGTTTGATAGTCATTTTCTAAAATGGAAATAATGTCTAACGGGTCACTTTTTAATGTTCCCTGTGTATCTCTCAGGGATGTAAAGAGGGTAGGTGTGAATGGTTTTCTACATAACCGTGGTAGCAGCTTGCCCGGCTTGTTGCCAACTTTGTGAAAATGCCGATCATTATGGGATTGGTGTGTAGCTTCTTGAGCTGCTGCCCATGTGTCAAAGTGTTTTTTGGCCTCTGACCAGGTTTTCCTATTTTCATGGGAGTTTGAACCTGCCAAGTCTCTTTGTGCCTGTCTTAGACGGAGGCTTGCTTCTGTGTAATTGCGGAGGAGGTTTTTCTTATAGGTAGATGTAAACGCTATGATTCTACCTCGGGGAACCGCCTTGCCTGTTTCCCAAAAGAGGTTGGGGTTTGTTTGGTGCTCTGCGTTTGTGTCACAGAATTCAGACCAGGCAGTATTTAATACTTGGAGTAAATCCCTATATACTCTCTTCCTTCTGGGTGTGACAGACGCCAAACGTCCGTGAGTTGTAGTGCTTCTGTGAAGCTGTTCAATAGCGTGTGCGTAGTGGGGTGGGATGGGTGATTTTTTGGTAGTAGGTTTTGATTTATCTTCCTGTGCGTTCATGTATTGGTTGAAATCCCCTCCTAACACAAATGGAAGGTGTATGAAGTTTGATAAGTTTGAGGAGAGATCTTGGAAAAATGGCTTGGGTGAGGAATTCGGGGGAGTATATATTAGCCAAAAGCAGTGGGGAGGAGTCCATTTTAATGTGTGCAGCTATGTATCGGCCCTCCTCATCCATATCTACCATGACAATGTCAGGGGTAAGACGTTTATGTAGAAGGGTAATTACTCCTGCTTTACCACTGGGTTAGAGTGATCCCAGCACTTGTCCCACCCATAATTTTTTCATGAGAGTAAAATCTGTTTGTTTTAAGTGAGTATGGATTGTCTCTTTGCTGCACGGGCTGTCTCTTTGCTGCACGGGCTGTCTCTGCTAGGTGGGCTGTCTCTTTTCCTGACGGCTATCTCTTTGCCCAGTTGGGTCCAGCAAATAATTATCTCAATCCAGCAAAGAGAGAGCCCAGTCCAAGAAGGGACATCCCCATCCAGCAAACAGACATCCCTGTCCAGCAACAAAACATCCCATCTTTGCTATATGGAGATGTCTCTTTGCTGGATGGTCTGTCTCTTTGCTGGATGGTCTGTCTCTTTGCTGGACTGGGCTGTCTCTTTGCCCAGTTGGGTCCAGCAAAGAGACATCCCAATCCAGTAAAGAGACAGCCCAGTCCAAGAATGATCATCCCCATTCAGCAAAGAGACACCCATGTCCAGAAAAGAAACATCCTGTCTTTGCAATATGGGGATGTCTCTTTGCTGGACTGCTGTCTCTTTGCTGGATGGGCTGTCACTGCTTGATGGGCTGTCTCTTTGTTGGATGGCTGTTTATTTGCTGGAGGGGCTGTCTCTTTGCTGGAGTAGCTGTCTCTTTGCTGGATGAGCTGTCTCTGCTGCTGAGTAGTCACTTTGCTGTACGAGCTGTCTCTTTGCTTACAGGATGAGCAGTCTCTTTGCTGGATGGGCTGTCAATTTGCTGTATGTGCTGTCTCTTTGCTGGAGTGGCTGTCTCTTTGCTGGAGGAGTTGTCTATTTGCTGGAGGAGCTGTCTCTTTGCAGGATGAGCTGTCTCTTTGCAGGATGGGTTGTCAATTTGCTGTACGAGCTGTCTTTTTCCTGCATGGGCTGTCTCTGGATGGGCTGTCTCTTTGCTGCACCAGCTGTATCTGCTAGACATGCTGTGTCTCTTTGCTGGACTGGGCTGTCTCTTTGCTGGACTGGGCTGTCTCTTTGCTGGACTGGGCTGTCTCTTTGCCCAGTTGGGTCCAGCAAAGAAACATCCAAACCCAGCAA